TCCAAAGTTATATATTTTACATACTAGGGGTGGCAGCTGGTGGATTACCACTTATCTCTAGCTATCCCAGGCAGGTTACTTTGGATTATCCACAGCTTTTTCTAGTTGTGGTGTTGGGGTGCTTAGGCTTCAGGATTTGGGATTCAGTAAGTAAGTGTGGGGGAGGCTTTTCTTATGCATGTTATCCATAACACTGCCAAATAAGTTAACGATTTTTTTTAAACTGGGACCACCTGCTTTCTAAAAAGCAGGTTTTGGTAACTAAATTGATTGAATGGAAGATTTTTGGATAAAATATCACCAATATCATCTGTTTAATTTTTTTTTTTTAAGATTTTTTTATTGGGGAATTGGGAAAGGGGAACAGCCAAGTTGTTGTCCTTCAATCTTAGTTGTGGAGGGCACAGCTAGCTCAGCTCCAAGTCCAGTCACCATCCAGCCGCCTGTCGGCAGTTCATGGCAGCTCAGCTCAAGGTGCTGTGTTCAATTTTAGTTGTGGGAGGGCGTAGCCCACCATTGCATACAGGAGTTGAACTGGCAACCTTGTTGTTAGGAGCACTACTCTCACCAGCTGAGCTATCCTGCCACCTTTTGGCAGCTCAGCGGCAGCTCCGCTTGGGTACAGCTCACTGGCCCATGTGGGAATCAAACCGGTGACCCTGTTGCTCAGAGCTCACGCTCTTACCAACGGAGCCACTCAGCCAGACCCCCCAACTGTTTAATTTTAATGAATAAGAATAATGTGGTTATTTTTTAAAGCTATCCCAAACGAAATAATAAAACCTAGCAAACCACACACAAAAATATAGGTCAATGTAGCTTAAGAATATGATTGCCAAAACATAAAGTAAAATATTACCAAGCTAACTTGAGCACTGTACTATAATGTTAGTTAACATTTTTTGGTGGCATAGCCTGGCACCTACTATATGCCAGCCACCATTTAAGGTACCAGGGATACAACAATGACCAAAATAGGCAAAAGTTCTCATAAATCTTAACGTTTGACCTCAATAAGCTAATCCAGTTGGAGGAGAAAACAATAAGCCAAGTTGTATAATATATTACAAGTGGTAAGTCCTGTGGAGAGAAATAAAGGGAAGGTAGATAGCGACTAAATAGCAGGTGAGATAGTAGGGTTGCAGTTTTGAATAGGATGGTTCAGATAAACCTCCAGGAGAAACTGACATTTCAGCAAAGACTTAGAGGGAGTGAGCCAGTGGATATCTGTGAAAGAGTACATGTTCCCAAGAGAGGGAGCTGTAAGTGCGAAGGCTTGAAACATCAGCAGCTAAGAATATATCGAAGAGTAATAAAAAAGATGTGTCCTATCAGATCTTAAAATGTACTATTAAATTTCTTTAATTAAAACAATGTGTTCTTGACCAAAAAAGAAAGTCCTGAAGCAGACCCTAATATACCGGAGTGCCCAAACAATGTATACACATTTTAAGAGATGTTATCTATGTATTACTTTTCAAAGTTGAATTATGGTAGCAATATGTAGTATGACATTTGCTCAAAAGATGGCGTTAATCAAATGAATGCTAGTGTCATTCATTGTACAACATTACAATTTCAATAGTTTTTTTCCTTTCTTAAAATGTGTATACATTTTCTTTGGCACCCTCTGTGTATTAGAACTTATCCGGGCCGGCTGAGTGGCGCGTTGGTTGAGAGCTGGCTTGGGATTCCAGCTCTGTGCAGGAGGGCCCTGGTTCGGATCCCACATGAGGGCCAGTGACACTGCCCTCTCTACAGCTAAGATGGTGAACAACAGCTCAACCTGGAGCTGGGCTGCCGTGAGTTGCTGGTGATGGCGTGGGCTGCAGCCCCTGCTGCAGTGGGCTGCGTTAAGCTACCGTGTGTGGCCAGCAGCCAGTGTGAGCGGCGAGCCGCTGTGAGTGGCTGTCCAGTGGCCGGTGACCAATCTGCCTCGCCCGGGAAGAGCGCGATGATGATACCAACATGGGCCAGTGAACTGATGTCCTCCACAACTAGACTGAAGAACCAAGGAACAGCAACTTGTCTGCTCCCCTTCCCGGATTCCCTAGCACAGTTCCTCTCTCCCAATTCCCCAATAAAGTCTTTTAAAAAAAAGAACTTATCCTATGTTAAAGGATGCCCCAGACACTAGTGATAGGGAAAGCGATAGACTATTCAATAAATGGTGCCAGGAAACTGATAGTTTTGCAGGGATGGGAAGGGAAGGGGAGAGGACATCTTATCAGACACTAAAAATTCAAAGTGTACTGAAAAGTTAAATGTAAAAAAATAAAGCTATGAAATCAAAGAAACCTGAATGTTTAATTGATTTAAGGACTTCTTTAAGCATAAAGACAGTAGAAGAAATTACTTTAGGAAAGATCTCTAGTTTGACAATAAAGTTTTTGTTTTGTCAAATCTAATATTCTTAAAAGGTAAACAAGTTGGAAAATATTTGTAATGAATAATTGACATCAGGTTAAAAAATCAAAAGAAAATCTAATAGGAAAAAAAGTTCTCTAAAGAGATATAATTACCAATAAATAATATCAGCTTACACCTGTTACAATACTTTCAAGGGCCCTTGTGATGTGTTAACTCATTTCTCGTAACACTATAAGGTAGGTCTATTTATAGCCCCAGTTTACAGATCAGGAGACCGAAGCACACCATATTTAAATAGCTTCCCAGCGTCACACAATTACTAAGTGGAGGACGTGGGATTTGAACCTAAGCGGCAGAATCTCACTCTTAACTGTTGCTTTGGACAGCTACACTGGAAACGTGTTTACTCTTACTGGTCAAGAAAGCAGTGTATATTATTTTAGTGTACATATCAAGGCTTTTAGGGAGTTATTCCTGATTATGGATCCTCACAGGCCTTTTTCCCTTTGCTTTATTTGTTCAGCTGCAATCATGCTACAATGGAGTCTTTAGAAATTGGAGACCACAATGTTCTTTGAATTGATATTCTCAACACACACCCACACCCCCGACACCCCCTCCCAACCCCCCACTCTCTTTTCTTCTAATCCTTTCCAGTCAGTTAATCTTGACTCATCTACTTCCTTGCCCAACTTCCAATTATATCTACTTATGATTCTCTCAACCCAGTCTTGACCCTGCATCCCAATCAAGAGGGTATTCGTCCCTAGTGGATAATTCTTGATCCTATTTGCTCCGTGGGCGATCTCACGGTTACCTGGAAATTGCCTATCCCAAGAGATTAAATCTTGGAATTGAATTTTCCACCCCCCAGGTTTTGCCTTTTGCAAATGTGTTAATTTGTGTCAAAATGAAGTTGAATTTGCCTCTTGAATCTGGTTTCTCCCTATCACATATAGTAGGAATTTAGTGTCAGACTCTTTACTTACGATAAACTCGGCAAGTTGCTTAATTTTTCTGATTTTTGCTTTCCTCACATTTAAAATAAGGAATCCGATTAGACTAGTAGTCTAACTTTCATGTTGTATATGCTTTCACGTCTGCCTGGTGTAGAATATGTGGAAGAGAAAAACATGGACCTTTTGGGCACCCATCCCATAAAGGGGCTTTGCAGAACCCGGGACTCAGCCGAGCAGAGCCCAGAAACTGCACTAGATGAGACCCGTGGGTTGTGGGTTTGTGTGCTGCCACGTACTACTGCAGCCCAGATCCTTGCCTGAATAGCACCGAAATGCAGAAGTGAAAAAGTGGGTTAAATAGGAAGGTAAGCAAGGATGTGAGTTCTGAAGGATGCGGGGATGAGCTTGAAGACTGATTTTATTCAGTAGAAGAGAAGAATGAATCAGGTAATTTGAAGGCAGTGCTTCTTAGGGCGGGACCCAGAGACTTGGGGTAAATTGTAGATTCCTTTCCCCTCGGAGGTACCAAATTAGAACCTGGTCTTAGTACAGGAACAGGAAAATTGACATGGTGATTTGATGTGTGGGCTGGAGGTGGAGGGAGGAATGTGGGGAAACTAGTTCTTTTTAATCCATTTTCTCTTTGGATCTTGTGTTTGAGATGACCACTGGATATACAAGTGGATATATCTGTAGACAAATGAAAATAAAATCATTGGAGACACACATCTGTGCTACAGGCAGCGATGGCTCAAATGGCTCAAAATAGTCTACTGAGGGATGAAGTAGAAAGGAAATCTCTTAGTTTTAGGCCCTGGACCTTGGAGATAAGAAGAGACAGAGAAGGAATAGTCAGTGGTATAAGAAGACCAGGGCAGTATTAGGGGTCAAGGAGGCATTGACGGGTGTGTTACATTGTGTTGTCGGGAAAATGAGAACCAAGAGAAGATATTGATAACCCTTGAGAATGCCACAGTACCCACAGAGGATTCCTTTAATGAAGACTGCGGTGGTATTTGTAAATATCGAGTACTGTACTTTGAAAAATAGTGACTCAAACACTGAATGCTCACTGATTCTAATTTCTCTTTATTAGAATTTATTCCTAGAGATTTGTAAGCCACAGCAGGTGTCATTAAACCTTTCTATAAAGGGCCAGATAGTAAATATTTTAGGTTTTGCAGGGCATCTGGTCTGTTAATAACTACTAACTCTGCAGTAGCATGAAGCTAGTCTCAGACAGTATGTTGCCACATGGGTGTGGCTGTTACAGAAACAGCTGGTGGACCAGTTTCTCCACCCTTGATCTAGAAGAACCTCTGCTTTTCAGCATTTTTTCTGTATTACTCTTCCTTTCTTTTTGCTTTAAGATTCAAATTAACATTGACTAGCTTCTTATTAAAATTATTAAAACTGAATATTAGTAATGAAGCTTGAAAAAATCTAGCAGGAATTACTGTTCTGTTGATCTTATAAAATTTAATAAACTTGACTAAGCACTACCCTTTCCGTGCCCTCAAATATGAGATGGTAGAACTGAAATAGGGACATTTGCCCCGCATGGTGCTCCCCGCCCCCAAATAAAATGACTAGTTCAGTGTGGTTTGAGTTGATATGTTCCCTTTTTATTACTTTACTAATTTTAATAACAATTTCCTTTTACTTTTTCAGTCTCGGCGAAATCTATGTGAAGAGGCTTTGTTAAAAATTAAAGGTGTTATTAGCTTTACTTTTCAAATGGCTGTTCAAAGATGTGTGGTGCGAATCCGTTCAGATTTGAAAGCAGAGGTTAGTATTTTAAATGGCTCAATGTTGTTTAAGTTACAGGGAACAAGTCAGTGTTCAAAATTGTCTTTTTTTTTTTTTATCTTGGCCTAGGCTTTGGCATCAGCGATAGCATCAACCAAGGTTATGAAGGCTCAGCAAGTTGTGAAAAGTGAAAGTGGAGAAGAGGTAAAAGGTTTATTTAGTGTTCTCTATCCCTAACTCTGACTCTTGGTTATTCTTTATGGCTGGTGGATTGCCATTATTTCTAGATTAATTGTTGCCAAAGGAATGTTGTTGCATCAGATTATCTTAATATTTCTTGGTTAACAGTTAACTCTTAGAAATATAGAGATTTCTTGTGGATTTCAGTCCGTTTTTATATCTTATATATTTATGAATTTCAGACTCTGATCTTTTATTTCAGTGGCGCTATCTTATATTACATGGCAGTAAAGGATATGTGGCTTCCTTGCATTGGTCTTTAAATACTTTCTAACCTTAATTAGTTTCGCCAGTCCAAAAAATAGAAGTCCAGTCCCAGCATTGTGCAAGTATGTATAGTGAAGATCTTTGCACTTGATGCACTTTCCACTGGCCTTGTGATAGAGAAAACGAACTTAGGTGGCTTTAGTTCATTTGAGTTCCCATAGAAAGGAGGTTCAGGGGCCCTCCAGGGGCCCGCACAGTAGCCAGATACTTGCTTTTGTCGTGCTTATTTTTACATTTAAAAAATTTTATTTATTTATTTTTTTATTATTTTTTAAGATTTTTATTGGGGAATTGGGGGGATGGGAACAGTGCTGGGGAATTGGGGGAAGGGGAACAGACAAGTTGCTGTCGTTTTGTTCTTCAGTCTGGTTGTGGAGGACGTTGCTTCACTGGCCCAAGTTGGCACCATCATTGCGCTGTTCCCGGGCGAGGCAGATCAGTCGCCGGCTTCTGGATGGCCGCTCACTGCGGCTGCTGGCCGCTCACGCTGGCTGCTGGCTACATACGGTAGCCCATGGCAACCCACTGCCACAGGGGCTGCAGCCTACGCGGTCGCCGGCGACTCATGGCAGCCCAGCTCCAGGTTGAGCTGTTGTTCAGCATCTTAGCTGTAGAGGGCAGTGTCACTGGCCCTCATATGTGGGATCCGAACCAGGGCCCTCTGGCGTCCCAAGCCAGTTCTTAACCATCGCGCCACTCGGCCGGCCCTAAAAATTTATTTTTAATTACAGTTGACATACAGTAATAGTGTCAGGTGTACAACATAGTGATTCAACATTTATACACTTTACATTAATCCCTCCTGGACCCCCAGGAGAAAAGCATCAGTTTTCATGTGCAGTTCTGTCTTTCTGTGCTTACAAAGTGCTCACCAGTTGGGCCTATGTTCTTGTAAGAGGAATGTGTTCAAAGGAATACAGCCCCTGAAAGTGAATAATATGGTGATCAGAATAAGGAGTAAAGTTGACCTTGAACTTCTGATATACATCTGTCTATCAGTTAGGTCGCTTTTGTAACACTCTTCCCATGTTCTGTGTCAGATGCTGGTTCCATTCCAGGATACACCTGTGGAAGTAGAACAGAACACAGAGCTGCCCGACTACCTGCCTGAGGATGAGAGCCCCACCAAGGAGCAGGACAAAGCGGTGTCCCGGGTCGGCTCCCACCCAGAGGGTGGCGCTAGCTGGCTGAGCACAGCTGCAAACTTTTTATCCAGATCCTTTTACTGGTGACTTCAGTGTGGGGCTCAAAGACTGTGTGAACGAACAAGGGGCCAGTTTTCCATTGTGGTGGTGAACTGTCAAGTGCAATTTGCAATAAGTTATCATGAAAAGTTTTTAGATTACATGATTGCATATGCTGCATTTTACATTTTATTGGACATTTGCCCCACAAAGTGGTAAAAAGGACAGAGGCTACAGGTGGAGTTGCTTTGTTTATGAAGGTATTTTGGTTGTATGTTCCTTTGTGTAATTGCCTCAGTTTTTAAAAAACATGGGTCCACTGTTAAACCAAACATGTATGTGCAGCTTTACATTTTATTTTACATGAAGCACGTAATTAGGAAAAACAACTTTCTCCTCAAGCCTCAGGACCTATCTGAAGAGAAATTTTCTTTGTAGCTCAAGTTGTGCATGAATTACTGAACATTTTTCTCGCTTTTCTTCATGAGAGATACTTGCTTTGGTACTCTTCACCAAAAGTTGAAAACGTTTCTCATTACCCCCCTTTTGTGCCTTTTTTAATTTTGCCAACCATGATTATAGAAAGGACATTACTAATGACATTTTGTGAATTAAAATATATTAATTTGAATGTAGCAGTCCCTTAAAAATACAACTCTGCAAAAACTTTGCAGTCTTAGTTATTATCATTTTAATAAGATGAACCCAGAATCATTGAAGAAGAAGGAAACACATCTCTCAGCAAAGTGCTATTGAGACTGTTTGAATGGGACCAAATGTAGGTCCAGTGAAGTGCTGTTCCATTTGGTTTATATCAGCTCTTGCGAGTTCCATCCACTGTAATATTGGGAGCAACTATAAATGGTCTCTGGGCCTTACTTTGTGATCGACTACACGCTGTCCCCTGGTAGAAAAAAAATAAGTAATAAAGGACTGACAAACTTGAAAAAAGAAAACAAAAATTGGATGCCTATATGCCATAGTGCCATTTGGTAAAGTTTAACCGTAACACATGAATTGCTTGGCAGATAGATTCCTCTTCAGTAGGTGTTTCCTTGTATCACCTTTTATGAATTTATTATGAACTTACAGTCGGATTGAATGAAAAAAGACTCAAATTAGTGCTTATAAAGAAATAAAGCCAGCATTGGTCTACTTAATCTTGTTTCTCATGTCCAGCCAGAAAAAAAAGAACTTCAGTGAAGGTAAGATAAATAAATATAAATATATATACATATATATTTTTGGTAGATAAGAGCTCATTACATATATGTAATGCTTTATTGCATTTCTGGAATATTTGGCAACTAAAATTTTCCTTTTGGAAATCAACTAAATCCAGAAAAATTTTAATGCTAATACGATTAAAAACTAATAGGAAGAAATTGAAATTTTTTTCATCAACCTGTAGAGCTGCTGTTTTACTACTTGGAGAATGTGAAATGAAAGTTGGACCCTGGAAGATTTCCTTGCATTTTCATCACTTCTCTTTTAGAGAAAATTAAAAGCATCCAGTGTCTCTGGAGAAAAATTACTGTATAATACTTCACCAACAAGAATCTCGAGTTCACAAACATTGTGACCTGGAGGAAGGGGTATCGAGGGTAATGGGAATGATAGTTTCTCATATGTCTGGGCTCCGATTCGGGTGACACGCGCAACTGAAAACATAAGCTTTCAGGGCATGTATTTCTTTAAATGTGTAATACAACTTGCTTCCAGAACCAGACGTGTTGAAAAAAGAAAACAAAACCACCTCCTTTCTATAGCCATTAAAACAAAGTTTACTGTTCCGTTTTAACAAGCTTATATTTTATTTTGCATCGCCACACATCTGCTTATTTAAAAAACTACATCATTTTGGTAGCAGTGGTTCAATACAAGTAGGTACTACAGCTTGATGTTGTGTGTTCTGATTCTAAGTGTTCTTTTATTTCCAGGTCTAATAAAAGGTAACATAATTAAAATTGAATGGTTATTGCATTTTTATGGTATAAGCATTATTGATTATTCTTGAGCCTGTTTGTATCCACACTGCCTGGCACTTTCTAGCTCCCTGTAGGTGTGTTACCCAATCAATTCCCTTATCTCCTTCCCAGCATCACACCTTCCTTCCAGCTTTGGATCAGCTGCCCCTTTAACCCCTTGGGTACCAATTTACTTGAAAAAAATTTTGCATATGGAACAGATTTAATTTTTCAGTACTTGGAGCAATACATAAAAGCAGTAGGTTTTATGTAAAACTTCATTTCTAAAAAATCAGTGACATACATAGTATTGAGATGTCTTCAGGTAATTAGAATTGTAAAACAAAAATAAATAAAAGCAATTCAAAACTAAAACAAATAAATTCAAGGTATAACAAAGCAAATTACTAGTAGTTTTGAAGAGTATGGTATTTTTCAAAGCACATAGGTAAATGCAGCGGCACTTGGCATTGTTTGCACTGCCAGGTAGTCTCCTTCCTAATTTTGTTTATAACAAACACGGCACCTTTTTGTAGGACTTTGGTTGGATTCAGTTGATGGAATAGTCTCAGGAAAGTGTGCCCAGTATTTTGCCTGCAAACGAAAAGGTGTATCGCTATTTGAAGGACATCCACGACAATTTTAATTTGGCAGTGACACTTGCTCCAGTAATTGTACAGCAATAGCTAGATGAAAGCAAACAATGCCTATTTTGGTTGTGCAGTTGATTTTAGAATATAAGACGTGTGTTATAAAAGGCTATGTCTTATTAGATAAAAAAACATTTTCTTATACCCCTTTACACATTTTCTCATAACAGGGAAGCACGCTAGCATTTGATCCTGTTTATCAAAGCCTCGCATACCTTTATTACACTCAAGCACACACGCTGGTTTTATAATATTTTCGATATCGCCACCTGGCTTTTTTCTCTTTTTGCCAAAGTCACTTTCATTAAAACTTTCATTATCACTTTCATAAAATATATTTCTTATTCCTGACATTATGGGACAGTGTATTGCAAACAAGGTTCACCAAAATACTGTCATTGTTTTCTGTTGCAACTGATGAAAACTATTCTTTTTTTTTTTTTTTTTTTTAAATTTTTTTTGGGGGAACTGGGGGATGGGAAGAGCGCTGGAGAATTGGGGGAAGGGGAACAGACAAG